CGAGTAAATAGACACCAAACATGTCAAGCCTTAAAATTGCATGTGCCCGCAAAATCGCAAAAAACGCCCATAGGTGACGATTAAAACGCTTTTACTGCTCATCAGTTTAGTATCATCAGTGATTAATGGCTCTAAAATTATTGCTCTCATTTCGACGTTTGCGGCGATATTTAACATGTGCGGCACAATAGGCGCAATCGTCGTTTTCGCAGGTAGGGGCACCCGACGCATATCTGCGTGTGTATGTGGGGGGCGGGTACTTAAAAAAATATTTTATTTTTTTATTTGTTTTATGCTTCTTTATAATTCTTTGATTTTAGTATTACTTTTTTTTTACACACAGCTTTATTGCTATTACATGGGGGGCTAAGAAGCCCCCTATGCAATAGCCAATTTACATGACAGGTCCTCTTTATGGAGACATCAGGGGTCTCCAAGACCTCTAATGTCACCTAGGGACCCCCAGAGAAGCTGATGAAGCAGAGATCGGCTTCATCAGCTTCTGCAGCTGGAGAGTGACACTGAATGCAGGAAGTGATGTAATCTACATCACTTCCTGCATTCGGGGACTGAAAGGAGATCAAAGGGAGATCGTGTACTGAACTCCCTTTGATCTCCTGTCACAGAGCCGTGCCGGTCCCGGCCGCATCGGGCACAGCGGATCTCGGGACCGGCAGTGACAGCTGCTAATACAAGCAATCGAGCGTCTCTAGAGACACCCGATCGCTTGAATGTAAAGCTCCCAGCCGGCCGTATAATTACAACGGCCGGCCGGGAAGCTGCCCGTCGGGCTCCACCGTCCTCTCGTCACAGACGAGCGGACGAGTGGATTTTTCAAGCCCTGCTCATCAATACATTCTCTATGCTGTATATTCCATCAGAGTAACACCAGCATTATTTTTGACCATGGGCCTCCTAGTGAACTCCCCGTAGGACTATATAAAGAATAAGATCCAGAGAGAGGAACCAAACAAACATCTTGCTGAAGTCCTACAGCCAAGGATAAGAGAAATCTATCTGCTGCGTGCGCTAGCAGACAGCAATAAACATCAGGCAGTAGATCAAGCCCTGCCTCCAAGCACACAAAATGTACTAACACATGTAGGCACAGTTCCTTTTCAAGGTATTTGTAGAGAAAAGATGGCGAATAGGAGGTTACAGACAACAGACAAGACCTGGGGGTTCATTTATAAAAGTTCTGCCTGGCTTATTCATTTGCACAGCACTAGTGTCCATAGATGGCGCTGAGGAATATAGGAATTCCTATACTCCTCAGTGCCATCTAGTGGCGCAAGAGCCGTGCAATCGGCATTTGCCCGAATATACACTGTGTGGAACTTTTATAAAAAGAGATAGAGCAAACCCCTCCAAAATGTAAAGAAAACAACTTTAGGTGGAACTCCATTTTAAAGCCCAACTCCGGCTCCAAGTAAAAATCAAACCCTTGAGGTGGAGCCCCCCATGCACTGCAAGGGTTAAATGCTGGTTAAGTCTAGGAGTGACTTCTTAAGGCACTCCCAGCCACGGTCTCACGCCTGCCTGCTTTGCATACAATGCAGGGCTGCTGGCCCCGCATTGTACATGATGACACCAAGGGGCCACAGCATCAAGGAGAAGAGGAAAGCACCGCAGCCTGATGGAGGATGGATGAAAAATATAGATCTTTAACTCCCCCTAGACTTGATGAACATTTAACCCTTTCAAGGATGGGGGGCTAAAATCCCAGGCCTTGCAAGACTCTGGCAGCTACAGTCAAGACTCCAGGAGGCGGAGGCATGATGGGATTCACAGCTTTTCACAGCTGATGCTAGAGACCTAAAGAATATGAGAGATCAGACTGTTGAATGAGGACAAACTTCCGTTCTTTTAACCGCTGGATTAGTCAGACATATACAAGCAGGCTTGGCTGGGCTTCCCAGCATGCTTTATAAAACACACGTTTATGTAGATACCCCTTCATAAATAGTGGTTTGTAAATTGAAAATATGAATTTAGAGTTGCTAGTTATTTTTTCACAGCAATTAAAATAAAATGGACTGACAACTATTATATTATCTCCTTAAAAAGAGAATTATGGGGTGAGTGAAATACACTCATTCTCATAATTAGAGCCGGGGTTCTATAGAAATGGCCAACTCGTTGATTTCAACCAGATGGCGCTGGAGCACGTGCGCCAGCTGTGGCAATGTCAGAATCCCTGTAGAGTTCTCCAATTCCCATCAGTGCTCCTGCGCAGCTTCACAATCCCTGTAGAGTTCTCCAACGCCTGTTAGTGCGACTGCGCACCTTCACAATCCTCGTCGACTTCTCCGACTCCCGTCAGTTCACCATGCGTGGCCACCCATGAGCTGTATCAAGTTCTCCAATTAGCGTTACTGCGCCCCCACCCGATGGCATAACACGAAATCTGTTAGCAGAAGATGCTGTCTAATTGGCTGCCTTTGCAACGGCGAGGATTGTGAAGCCACGTAGGCGCACCGGCGGGAATTGGCAAACTCGGCAAGGATTCTGACACTGCAGCATAACGAGTCGGAGATCTCGACGAGTTGGACATTTTGACAGAACACCAGCACTGTAACACTGCTGCTATAATACATCGGCTCTATTGATCCAGAACTGAGCGATCACATACCTCTGATTGCTCAATTCCTGATCTTCTCCCTGCAGGGAGCGGTGATTGAGTCAGGCCTCCCCACAGTGATTTTCCCCCCCGCCCCTGCTCCAAAGAGGCAGAGCCGGCTGTCAATCAGGCATTATGTCCTCCTGTGACCCTAAAAGAGAACTATGGCAAAAAATAAAAGGTTGGGTCATAGTTCTCTTTTAAGGACTATTGCAATAAGCTCAATAGGTCTTATATAGAATCTGTAGTTTTCCATCAGGTTGGACCAGACCCATAGACTTGCACTGAGAGAAGTAGTGAAGCACAGTCACTACTGAGCAGGAAGCAGAGCCTGCATATGTTATGAACAAGTATGTCTGATTCCATGCTTATAGATTATTACAAACAATAGGGACAACGTTTTTTTGAAACAAACTTTTACACGGAAGTGATGAAAATAGATAATTACAAAAAAATCTGTATATCCATCTATCTATGTATCTATCGTGTTATGTGCATGATGCATGCTGATTAAAAACACGTGTAACATTCCTAGGTATTCGGTGCTCTCCCCTACATTGCCCTTATCTCAGGACAGCACCTTGTTTGGAGAGGAGACTGAGAAAACACTTCCTCCAGTCTGAAGTAGACTGATGACTTCTGACCACAGGGAAGAGGAGACTGAGGAAATGCTTCATCCTGCCTGCAGCAGACTGGCGACTTCTGATCAGAGAGGGAAGGGGACCAAGGAAATGCTTCCTCCAGCCTGCAGCAGACTGGCGACTTCTGATCAGAGAGGGGACTCAGGAAATGCTTCCTCCAGCCTGCAGCAGACTGATGACTTCTGATCACAGAGGAGACCAAGGAGATACTTCTTCCTGCCTGCAGCAGACTGATGACTTCTGATCACTGGGAAAGATGAGACCTAGGAAATGCTCCCTCCTGCCTGCAGCAGACTGATGACTTCTGATCACTGGGAAAGATGAGACCTAGGAAATGCTCCCTCCTGCCTGCAGCAGACTGATGACTTCTGATCACTGGGAAAGACGAGACCTAGGAAATGCTTCCTCCTGTCTGCAGCAGACTGATGACTTCTGATGAGAGGGGAGGGGACTCAGGAAATGATCCCTCCTGCCTGCAGCAGACTGATGACATCTGATCACTGGGAAGTATGAGACCAAGGAAATGCTTCCTCCTGCCTGCAGCAGACTGGCGACTTCTGATCAGAGAGGGGACTCAGGAAATGCTTCCTCCCGCCTGCAGCAGACTGATGACTTCTGATCACAGAGGAGACCAAGGAGATACTTCCTCCTGTCTGCAGCAGACTGATGACTTCTGATGAGAGGGGAGGGGACTCAGGAAATGCTTCCTCCCGCCTGCAGCAGACTGATGACATCTGATCACTGGGAAAGATAAGACCTAGGAAATGCTTCCTTCTGCCTGCAGCAGACTGATGACATCTGATCAGAGAGGGGAGGGGACTCAGGAAATGCTTCCTCCTGCCTGCAACAGACTGATTACATCTGATCAGAGGGGAGGGGACTCAGGAAATGCTTCCTCCTGCCTGCAGCAGACTGACGACTTCTGATCACAGGGAAGAGGAGACTACGGAAATGCTTCCTCCTGCCTGCAGCAGAGTGATTCTCATTCTAGGCAAAGTCACTAGACTGTACTTCAAAGGATGCTTTGAAAAGAAAAAAAAGGTTGCTGTATATTGTGACATCTCAGGAACTTATTTATGGAGACCTGTTGAAATGTCCACTTTAAAATGAAATTGAAGCCAAAAAATGTTTTTTTGGGATGGATGGGGTGGAGAGGGATTAGAAAACCTGTCAGGTTGTTATTGTTGTCTGTGTCCCCGTTAGGGAGATTCACCCTCTCTATTTATCCTGGTGACTGTTATCACTGAAAGTAAAAGAAAATCACATTTTGTGTTGTCACCAGAACAGGAAGAGATGGGAAATCTTTTAATGGGAACACTAGTTCTAGTGAACACTAGGGGTTTTCTTTGTGGAGGATCTCCTCTCACTTCCTGTAGTTCCTTTTGGGCAGGAAGTGAAGAGAAATCTCCCTGATGGGACACAATTGGCATAAAAAAGCTGACACTTATAACCTTTCCTTACTCTACCCAGTTCTATTTTAAGCTGCTCACATTTAGATGTAGATGTTCCATAGTCTCGATTAATGTTCCAGGCCTTCTACCTGTTGTACTCGGCCGCTGTTAGATGTAGAACACATTAGATATGGGGGTAGAGGAGGAAACGTATAAACGAACCCCGATTACAAGACAATTATCTGAGTGGGAGACACCCACATACAGCAATCTGCTGCCGGCAGGAAGTGACACAAGTGAGATCCTCCTGCAGGCGAGTCATCAAACGTGTACACGGCCACAGCTTACCTTGCAAACCTCTCCTTGTCATTAGGAAGCTGGTCGTCATCACACCTGGAATACACAAGTCATACGAGTTCGTAAGACATACAGTATTAGGGCCTGTTCACATGATATCAGGTCCTAATAAGGTCCGGATCTGCTACTGATGCAGTGCGTTTTTGCCGCGTTTTTGATGCGATCCAGTTAAAAAAAAAATTTTTTTTTGCTGGAGTGCGGCTGTCAGTATGTTAGCTGCAGTGCAGTGCGTTTTTGACGCGCTTTGCATCAAAAACGCACTGCACTGGAAATCCCGCGGTCGTACGAGAATCGTGCAGTGTGATCAATGAAGACGTGCGACCGTTTCTGCTGTACGGTTGCACGTCTTTTGTCTAAGGAGCACGCTAGAAAACCAGCTGAGAATCGTACGACTTTCAGCATGCTCGGGAGACAAATGCCGAACGGGCCGGTGCACACTGCCCGTTCAGCATTGCAGTCATCGCAAGCCCGCCCCTCAGGTCTTGCGATGGTTGTAAAGTGAATGGGCACCTTTAGGGTCACCATACATGTTACAATCAACTTTAGATCTACCAAAGCAATGTAATCTAAGGACCTACGTATTCTATGCAATCAATGTGTATCCAATCAGACCGACCCTTTGCACTACATAGTTGTTGGTAGATCGAAAGGAGATTGTACAAACAGATTGTAACATGCGGTGAGCTTTCGGCCACCCGTGGATAAAACATATCGGTGTCATATCAGAAATGTCCACTTTATTTTTTTGCCGTAAGTAACGATCCTCTGGCTGAGAGAACTCACCAGATTACAAAAACCTTTCCTTGCATTGGGGCTACCCCTGGCACTACAAGGGTTAACCGCTATGAACATTGGACATGATGGCGTCTGTGGACCTAATTTGTTTGAAAGCTCTTAACCACTCGCTATCCGGCCGTTGTAATTAAACAGCCGGACAGCGTCTCCTTGAATGCGGGTGGGCGTTTTTGGAATGTAAACATCGATGGCTGTTTACATACAATCGCCCGATCGCTTGTAATATGCGTGCAGTTGTGCGCCCCCACCCCCGTTGCAGCCGCTGCTGGCGATCCCGAGCTCCGCTGTGCCTGGTATGAGCTCGGGACCAGCACAGCAGCTCTGCGACCGGAGATCAATACACGAATCAATATCTTCGGAATGCAGGAAGTGATGTGTATTACATCACTACATCACTTCCTGCATTCAGTGTCACTTTCCGGTACAGAAACCGGAGAGAAGCTGGTGAAGCAGGTGTTTGCTTCATCAGCTTCTCTGGGGGTCCCAAGGTGACATTAGGGGTCTCAAAGACCCCAGATGTCTCCATAAAGAGGACCTGTCACTGAAAATTGGCTATCACAAAGGGGGCTTGTTAGTCCCCTATGTGATAGCAATAAAGCTAAGTGAAAAAAAAAAAGGTTTAAAAGAATTAGTTACAAAAAAAAATAAAAAATATTAAAAAACTAGAAGTCGCATATAAAAAGGTAATACAAATGTAAAGTCCCCCGCCCCCACATACAAACATGTGTCGAGTGCGCCTATGTGCGGAAACGGCGATTGCATCCATTACGCCGCACATGTTACATATCGCCGCGAACGTCACAGTGAGAACAATAATTCTAGGCCCATCAACCACTGATAATACTAAACTGATGAGCGGTAAAAGCTTTTAAAGCGTCGCCTATGGCCAATTTTGGGTATGGTAGTTTTTGCGAGTTCTTGGGCTCACGCAATTTTAAAGCTTGACATGTTTGGTGGCTATTTACCTGACGTGACCCCGTCTTTTATATTTTGCCACAAATTTGGGTAATAATAATTGTTTTATAACATAACGTAGGGAAAACAGTTTTTTCCCCCAAAATTTTCTGTACTTTTTTCATTATATAGTAAAAAATAAAAACCCCAGTGGTGATTATATACCACCAAAAGAAAGCTCTATCTGTCCCCAAAAAATGGTATAAAATTAATTTCAGTGCAGCGTTGCATGACGGAATAAATGTCAGTCAAAATACCGCAGTGCTGAATACTGAAAAATGACCTGGACAGAAAGGGGGTATAAACACCCCCGGTCAGCAAGTGGTTAAAGCTCATTTTCGTGGGGGGGGGTTGGAACTACCTTGGCACCGCAAGGGTTAACTGCTATAAACTCTGCATTGGACATGATGGCGTCTGTGGACCTAATTTGTTTGAAAGCTCTTAACCACTCGCTATCCGGCCGTTGTAATTAAACAGCCGGACAGCGTCTCCTTGAATGCGGGTGGGCGTTTTTGGAATGTAAACATCGATGGCTGTTTACATACAATCGCCCGATCGCTTGTAATATGCGTGCAGTTGTGCGCCCCCACCCCCGTTGCAGCCGCTGCTGGCGATCCCGAGCTCCGCTGTGCCTGGTATGAGCTCGGGACCAGCACAGCAGCTCTGCGACCGGAGATCAATACACGAATCAATATCTTCGGAATGCAGGAAGTGATGTGTATTACATCACTACATCACTTCCTGCATTCAGTGTCACTTTCCGGTACAGAAACCGGAGAGAAGCTGGTGAAGCAGGTGTTTGCTTCATCAGCTTCTCTGGGGGTCCCAAGGTGACATTAGGGGTCTCAAAGACCCCAGATGTCTCCATAAAGAGGACCTGTCACTGAAAATTGGCTATCACAAAGGGGGCTTGTTAGTCCCCTATGTGATAGCAATAAAGCTAAGTGAAAAAAAAAAAGGTTTAAAAGAATTAGTTACAAAAAAAAATAAAAAATATTAAAAAACTAGAAGTCGCATATAAAAAGGTAATACAAATGTAAAGTCCCCCGCCCCCACATACAAACATGTGTCGAGTGCGCCTATGTGCGGAAACGGCGATTGCATCCATTACGCCGCACATGTTACATATCGCCGCGAACGTCACAGTGAGAACAATAATTCTAGGCCCATCAACCACTGATAATTTGTCAGCAGGTCTCTGACCACCGGAGCAAAGGGGAAGAGGCTGCAGGGAGCGGGAATCAGGTAAGTCAAAGTCTATTACACAATACCATAGACAGAAGGTAGTCCACCTCGGCACGCCAGCTGCAGTGACACCACAAATCCTATCATGCATCTATTTCAGGGAGTCATGCCTGTGGCTGTCAGAGCCTTGCAATGCCTCATGGGACTTGTAGTTGCACCACCGCTGAAGGGCCGGAGTTTGACTACCCCTGCTTTAGACCGTCAATGGATAAGCATGGGGTCAACCCCACCATTTACTTTAGATAGGAAAAAATGAGGAAACTACCTGAGGAATTTCTGTCCGGAATCATCATCGTCGTCATCATCGTCAAAATCCAACCTGAGGAGAATTAAAATTCACAATTAAACTTAAAGAGTAAAACAATAAGACGGTCGGCATCATCATACCCCCTCCCAGGACCCACAATATAGGACTATCACAAGCGACTGTCTGCGTCAATCTCAGCGTGCACGGCCGGACAAATCACAACTGCAATGAGTAAGGGCACAATGGGTGCCCTAGGCCCGAAGGCCAAATTAAGTTCTATAGGCAACCTGGGCGCACCAGCTGTGGACGAACTACAAGTCCCATGAGTCTTTGCAAGACCCTGACAGCCACAGGCATGACTCCAAGAGGCAGAGACAAGATGGGATTTATAGTGTCACCACAGCTGGAGTGCCAAGGTTGCCTACCCCTGCAATAGAGGCACAAGCCAAGCTGACCTGGAAATACAGCCATTGCTGCACCATGCAAACATCTGCACTTACCCAGAAGAGCGGCGCTTGTTTCCTCTCTGCGCCATGGACCCTCCGGCCTGAGTGCTGGAACCTGGGTTTCCTGAGGCCACTCCCAGGGGTGAGACATCGGACGCCATCTCTACAAGAAATAAAAGGAACTCTTGTTACATGCAATTTCCTTTAATACAATTCTATGGCTTCCGTGCTAAACAAATATTTCTTTTGAGTGCAATTTCTGATTTATAACTAGCTGTGCTGATAGAAAGAGCAAGAGCGAGGCTGCAACGATCAATATCCCTTTAAGATGTGACATTCCAGACAGCCAATCAGGAGGCATCGAAGTGACATGTCTGATAGAACTCTCAGGGAACAGAAGCCAACTGGCAACAGGCAGGAGCTTTGAGGAGTCCAGCACAGAGCTCTAAAGGCCAAACAATGAAATGAAGGAGAACACTGCACTGGGATAAACCATGAAATTGAATACTGTAGGGGGGCCCCCCCAAGTGTGGCCTGTACCCATACCCAAGGGTGGCCTGTCGCAGCACCCCAAGGTGCCTGTATGTACACTCACCTGGATTGATGACCTGCCTGGGAACCCTAACCTCCAATATGCAAATAGTGACCCCCATCAACGTGTCCAATGTTGAAGAAACGCGTCAAGATACTGAAGTCACTGTGTTCATATCGGAGTCCCTTGGGAGCTTTATGAGGCAGCCAATAGTCTTTCAGATGGCTGCTCACGTGTGTATGAAAGTTAAGAACACAAGTTAATTTGGACAAGTGCACTTCAATGGTTAACAGACACCAGCAAACTGAATCTTATACAGCAATGGGTCCAAGCGGGGGAGTTGGGCTTCAAAGCAAACGAAAAGTGCTCCCTTTTGTTAAATACAGCGTTAAAAGCATTGCGTTCTGTTTAATAAGTGCAAATATATGCCTGTTGATCCTGCCAGAAAATCTGTCCGGTGTCCTGTGTTATCTGAAGGAGAGTAACTAGCCCTCCTAGCTATTGTTTTGGGATTTCAGAATGAGTATTTTTTTTTTCTGTGAAGAGGATAGGGGGCGAATTTGAGTGGTTTAGGAAAGAAAAATAGGCAGGGCTGACACCGCCCAGTCCCCAAAAAGGCTGTGTGTTGTTGCCGAGTGCATTTCTGGCAGATCAACAGGTATATTTCTCTACTTGCAGAGTCTTTAAAGGGTTAGAACATGGGGAAATGTTCATGTATTGAAGAACATGGGGAAATGTTCATATATTGAAGAACATGGGGAAATGTTCATATATTGAAGAACATGGGGAAATGTTCATGTATTGAAGAAATATAATACATATTTTGTGTTTTATTATTATTCAGGATTTATATAGCGCCAACAGTTTGCGTAGCGCTTTACAATAGGAGGACATTATAATTACAATACAGGACAAGATGGTAAGGAGGGCCCTGCCCCTGAGGGCTTACAATCTAAAATGCCCGGACATACCCTTTAAGCAGCATGAGAGCGAACGGCAGTGAATGAAAAAAATAACAAAGCAGAGGAAGGCCGTGCTGGGTGGCCTCATGTCATTTCACAGTTTCAGCTTTACCCCTCCGCCATCATCCACTGAAATATCAGTCTTAAGTGTCCTGGTCCTTGAAACAGTCACATGAAGCGTTCACATTCCAGCTTACTATCTATCTTCCCTCACGCACTCATACACATTGCACAAGCTGAGCCAAGTTTGGGAAGAATCCAATTAAACTACCAGTATGAATTTGGAATGTAGAAAGAAAAAAAAAAGGAGGGAGGAAACCCAAACAAGATCAAACTCAAAGGGGCCGATGTATAAGTCTTAGACCACAGCAAAAGCAGGCCGAGTGCTGACACTGATTCTTGCCACTAGATGGAGCCGAGGAGAAAAGGAATTTCCTATGCTCCTCAGCTCCATCTAGTGGTAGGAAAGACGTGTGAACGGCATTCACCCAGCATATGGCTGGGAAAATGATTTACAAATTGACCTCCAAGTGTCCTGGTTAAGACCAACCCTATATCCCCATGGCAACAACTTAGCTGCCATGCTGCCCTAGGGCATCATGCGAAAGGAACACATTGAAGTGGCGTATGCTCACTCAAATCGTCTGGATGGAAGAAAGTAAGCTCACTGGCAAGGCCGCTCCCAAACAAGACAGGCCTCCCTTGTAACCAGAGGTGACTCCATGTGCAGATATAAAAAGGTGCCAAACTGAAAGGTGAAAGAGTCCAAATGTGCCTTTAATTGTTCATACAGTAAACTCCCCATTATCCGGCATCCACGGGGATTGGTAGGTTCCGGATAAATGTAGTTTCTGGTTGCTTGAGACTTACTAATAAAAATATGTCTAACTAATGCCATAAACTCTGTATTGACTTCATATTAATATCGAAATGCAGTAATCAAAAGCAAATTAAGACAAAAAGATGCACTTAAAACAAAATAAGACAAATAGGCACATGAACGTTTCCAGGATAATACATGCCACAGATCAGCAGAACAGTGAGTACACAGGGGATTTTTTTTCTGGATAGAAAAAAAGCTTATCCTTACTGAACATATTAACACACGTGTTTTCTAGCATTGATGCACGTTAGGGATGCACCGATACCAAGTTTTTTGGGCCAGTACTCATACTCGCCAAAATGCTCCGATACCTTCCCCGATACCGAAACTTCTGGTCAGAGGAAATAGAGCCAGCTTCCAGTGTGATCAGGAAGCTGGACAGTGAGTAATGACCCGCCTCCCTGATTGGCCGGGAAGCCGGCTCCATGCAATCAACATCAAGCCAGTTTCCCGACCAATCAGAAAGCTAAGAGGCGGGTCATTACTCGACGCCCGTCTCCTGATTGGCTGGGAGGCCGGCTCAATACTGATTGGCTGGGAAGCCGGGTTTCCCGGCTAAGCACAATCAAGCTGGCCAGACAACATGAAGCCGGCTTGATTGCCCAGGAAGCCGGCTCTAAGCCAGCTGAAGCACTGGTATCAAAACTCGGTGCCGAAAGCAAAGTACTCGTACTCTGTACCAAAAAAGTGGTATCGGTGCATCCCTAGTGCACATGATCACTCCCTACTGCCACATACTGCCTTTAAAAAGCGTTGCACGGCGCTCCTTCACGGGTCCCCTGAGCTCTCCACAACAGCCAAATGGTACCAATTTTATTTCCCATATCTATACGGCCCCAACCTTCTAGAGTCAGGTCTGCAGTAACCCTTCATACTTCCTGCACATTTGTGACCATCAATATGGCTATTCAGCAGTCTTTTGTGAGGCTTGTGAACACCAAGCTGAACTGTATGTATTCTTACTTAAATATCGGTGAGCTTTGTGTATTTCTTCCAGATCTGTGCAGTGATCTAGTGTGAAACTTTACTTCCTGTAATAAAGACCGGTCACTGCTGCTCTGTTTTCTTGTGCAGGGTGTAGGGGAAGAGGCTGCAGGGAGCGGGAATCAGGTAAGTCAAAGTCTATTACACAATACCATAGACAGAAGGTAGTCCACCTCGGCACGCCAGCTGCAGTGACACCACAAATCCTATCATGCATCTATTTCAGGGAGTCATGCCTGTGGCTGTCAGAGCCTTGCAATGCCTCATGGGACTTGTAGTTGCACCACCGCTGAAGGGCCGGAGTTTGACTACCCCTGCTTTAGACCGTCAATGGATAAGCATGGGGTCAACCCCACCATTTACTTTAGATAGGAAAAAATGAGGAAACTACCTGAGGAATTTCTGTCCGGAATCATCATCGTCGTCATCATCGTCAAAATCCAACCTGAGGAGAATTAAAATTCACAATTAAACTTAAAGAGTAAAACAATAAGACGGTCGGCATCATCATACCCCCTCCCAGGACCCACAATATAGGACTATCACAAGCGACTGTCTGCGTCAATCTCAGCGTGCACGGCCGGACAAATCACAACTGCAATGAGTAAGGGCACAATGGGTGCCCTAGGCCCGAAGGCCAAATTAAGTTCTATAGGCAACCTGGGCGCACCAGCTGTGGACGAACTACAAGTCCCATGAGTCTTTGCAAGACCCTGACAGCCACAGGCATGACTCCAAGAGGCAGAGACAAGATGGGATTTATAGTGTCACCACAGCTGGAGTGCCAAGGTTGCCTACCCCTGCAATAGAGGCACAAGCCAAGCTGACCTGGAAATACAGCCATTGCTGCACCATGCAAACATCTGCACTTACCCAGAAGAGCGGCGCTTGTTTCCTCTCTGCGCCATGGACCCTCCGGCCTGAGTGCTGGAACCTGGGTTTCCTGAGGCCACTCCCAGGGGTGAGACATCGGACGCCATCTCTACAAGAAATAAAAGGAACTCTTGTTACATGCAATTTCCTTTAATACAATTCTATGGCTTCCGTGCTAAACAAATATTTCTTTTGAGTGCAATTTCTGATTTATAACTAGCTGTGCTGATAGAAAGAGCAAGAGCGAGGCTGCAACGATCAATATCCCTTTAAGATGTGACATTCCAGACAGCCAATCAGGAGGCATCGAAGTGACATGTCTGATAGAACTCTCAGGGAACAGAAGCCAACTGGCAACAGGCAGGAGCTTTGAGGAGTCCAGCACAGAGCTCTAAAGGCCAAACAATGAAATGAAGGAGAACACTGCACTGGGATAAACCATGAAATTGAATACTGTAGGGGGGCCCCCCCAAGTGTGGCCTGTACCCATACCCAAGGGTGGCCTGTCGCAGCACCCCAAGGTGCCTGTATGTACACTCACCTGGATTGATGACCTGCCTGGGAACCCTAACCTCCAATATGCAAATAGTGACCCCCATCAACGTGTCCAATGTTGAAGAAACGCGTCAAGATACTGAAGTCACTGTGTTCATATCGGAGTCCCTTGGGAGCTTTATGAGGCAGCCAATAGTCTTTCAGATGGCTGCTCACGTGTGTATGAAAGTTAAGAACACAAGTTAATTTGGACAAGTGCACTTCAATGGTTAACAGACACCAGCAAACTGAATCTTATACAGCAATGGGTCCAAGCGGGGGAGTTGGGCTTCAAAGCAAACGAAAAGTGCTCCCTTTTGTTAAATACAGCGTTAAAAGCATTGCGTTCTGTTTAATAAGTGCAAATATATGCCTGTTGATCCTGCCAGAAAATCTGTCCGGTGTCCTGTGTTATCTGAAGGAGAGTAACTAGCCCTCCTAGCTATTGTTTTGGGATTTCAGAATGAGTATTTTTTTTTTCTGTGAAGAGGATAGGGGGCGAATTTGAGTGGTTTAGGAAAGAAAAATAGGCAGGGCTGACACCGCCCAGTCCCCAAAAAGGCTGTGTGTTGTTGCCGAGTGCATTTCTGGCAGATCAACAGGTATATTTCTCTACTTGCAGAGTCTTTAAAGGGTTAGAACATGGGGAAATGTTCATGTATTGAAGAACATGGGGAAATGTTCATATATTGAAGAACATGGGGAAATGTTCATATATTGAAGAACATGGGGAAATGTTCATGTATTGAAGAAATATAATACATATTTTGTGTTTTATTATTATTCAGGATTTATATAGCGCCAACAGTTTGCGTAGCGCTTTACAATAGGAGGACATTATAATTACAATACAGGACAAGATGGTAAGGAGGGCCCTGCCCCTGAGGGCTTACAATCTAAAATGCCCGGACATACCCTTTAAGCAGCATGAGAGCGAACGGCAGTGAATGAAAAAAATAACAAAGCAGAGGAAGGCCGTGCTGGGTGGCCTCATGTCATTTCACAGTTTCAGCTTTACCCCTCCGCCATCATCCACTGAAATATCAGTCTTAAGTGTCCTGGTCCTTGAAACAGTCACATGAAGCGTTCACATTCCAGCTTACTATCTATCTTCCCTCACGCACTCATACACATTGCACAAGCTGAGCCAAGTTTGGGAAGAATCCAATTAAACTACCAGTATGAATTTGGAATGTAGAAAGAAAAAAAAAAGGAGGGAGGAAACCCAAACAAGATCAAACTCAAAGGGGCCGATGTATAAGTCTTAGACCACAGCAAAAGCAGGCCGAGTGCTGACACTGATTCTTGCCACTAGATGGAGCCGAGGAGAAAAGGAATTTCCTATGCTCCTCAGCTCCATCTAGTGGTAGGAAAGACGTGTGAACGGCATTCACCCAGCATATGGCTGGGAAAATGATTTACAAATTGACCTCCAAGTGTCCTGGTTAAGACCAACCCTATATCCCCATGGCAACAACTTAGCTGCCATGCTGCCCTAGGGCATCATGCGAAAGGAACACATTGAAGTGGCGTATGCTCACTCAAATCGTCTGGATGGAAGAAAGTAAGCTCACTGGCAAGGCCGCTCCCAAACAAGACAGGCCTCCCTTGTAACCAGAGGTGACTCCATGTGCAGATATAAAAAGGTGCCAAACTGAAAGGTGAAAGAGTCCAAATGTGCCTTTAATTGTTCATACAGTAAACTCCCCATTATCCGGCATCCACGGGGATTGGTAGGTTCCGGATAAATGTAGTTTCTGGTTGCTTGAGACTTACTAATAAAAATATGTCTAACTAATGCCATAAACTCTGTATTGACTTCATATTAATATCGAAATGCAGTAATCAAAAGCAAATTAAGACAAAAAGATGCACTTAAAACAAAATAAGACAAATAGGCACATGAACGTTTCCAGGATAATACATGCCACAGATCAGCAGAACAGTGAGTACACAGGGGATTTTTTTTCTGGATAGAAAAAAAGCTTATCCTTACTGAACATATTAACACACGTGTTTTCTAGCATTGATGCACGTTAGGGATGCACCGATACCAAGTTTTTTGGGCCAGTACTCATACTCGCCAAAATGCTCCGATACCTTCCCCGATACCGAAACTTCTGGTCAGAGGAAATAGAGCCAGCTTCCAGTGTGATCAGGAAGCTGGACAGTGAGTAATGACCCGCCTCCCTGATTGGCCGGGAAGCCGGCTCCATGCAATCAACATCAAGCCAGTTTCCCGACCAATCAGAAAGCTAAGAGGCGGGTCATTACTCGACGCCCGTCTCCTGATTGGCTGGGAGGCCGGCTCAATACTGATTGGCTGGGAAGCCGGGTTTCCCGGCTAAGCACAATCAAGCTGGCCAGACAACATGAAGCCGGCTTGATTGCCCAGGAAGCCGGCTCTAAGCCAGCTGAAGCACTGGTATCAAAACTCGGTGCCGAAAGCAAAGTACTCGTACTCTGTACCAAAAAAGTGGTATCGGTGCATCCCTAGTGCACATGATCACTCCCTACTGCCACATACTGCCTTTAAAAAGCGTTGCACGGCGCTCCTTCACGGGTCCCCTGAGCTCTCCACAACAGCCAAATGGTACCAATTTTATTTCCCATATCTATACGGCCCCAACCTTCTAGAGTCAGGTCTGCAGTAACCCTTCATACTTCCTGCACATTTGTGACCATCAATATGGCTATTCAGCAGTCTTTTGTGAGGCTTGTGAACACCAAGCTGAACTGTATGTATTCTTACTTAAATATCGGTGAGCTTTGTGTATTTCTTCCAGATCTGTGCAGTGATCTAGTGTGAAACTTTACTTCCTGTAATAAAGACCGGTCACTGCTGCTCTGTTTTCTTGTGCAGGGTGACTGGTCTGGTCTCCGCCCCTTAATGTAGTTTACTGTAGTAGGTGGGGCTGCTGGGTCCCTCCCACAGCCCTGCTGCCTGCACAGGCTATGTACAGCACAGTGATGATGTCACTGCTCGGGGAATAGATTTAAATAGAAGTCCTTGTGCACGGAGTTCAGCTTTAAAAAAAAAAAAAGAAAATCACTGCAGATACACCAAGTTTTACAGAGACACGTGAACATGTAAATACATCGTTGTAAATGGTATTTTGATGCTCACGTTATAAAAGGTAAATGGCATATTAAGTTTACAAGTCCTTTAAACCGTTTTATAGCTGAACTATAACGTGTCCATGACAGAAAGACTTCACAACTGGGAGGATAAGTGTGTGTGATGAAAGCATCCATCATTCCAGTAAAAGGGGATTTACAGGGACATGTCCGTCTACGTGAAAGGCGAGATATTGTTCTAATAGTTTCTATATTATTCAGATTTCCAATCCTTTTCTATTTACAGAAAAACATTAGAAACATTTGGTGTGTTCAGAATAGAAATAAATGACATGTTAAAGGGAACTTAAAGAGACCCTGCCCCCCC